ACGATTGCGTAGGCAACCCGGTCGGCCATGCGAGCCAGTCTGCCAGTCCGGACGAAACGGAGGAGGCTGAGGCAGTTTGGGAAGTTGGCGTTGCCACGACGTCTGGCGCGTCTGACGACAAGACCTCGTCCTCACGAAGCGGAGGATGGGAGGCAGCAAAGCACGAGGAAGAGGAGGAAGAGGAGGAAGAGGAGGAAGAGGAAGATGAAGACGTGGAGGAGGACGAGCAAGAAGGTGAAGAGGAAGATGATGAGCAAGAGGGTGAGGATGAGGACGCCGAGGAGGAGGAGGACCTGCAGGCAACAAGTGAAAGTAAATCACCGGTCATCTCGACACCGGCCATCTCCTAGAAGAAGGGGAGGAAGTCAACGGTGGAGGTGAAGGCTTTTACTGGGATTGACGATGGGTACAGATTGTACCCCAAAAGCTGGAAATGGACGAGCTCAACGCTCAGCTGCAGTCGTCCGGTCTCCAATGGATCCGGTCTGTTGTACTCGAGTCTGCCGAATGAGTTGTGCGGCTCGTTTAACGACTCGTCAATTTGCCGGGACTCGACAATTGTCGTCTGCTCGTCTCCTCAACGTTGTGCGGACATTTTGGCCTGCCCATGGGTCAACCAGTCCCGCTCCACCCTCAGGCATCATCATCATCATCATCATCATCATCATTATCATCATTATCATTATCATCATCCTCATCCCACCTTGCGAGTTCCACTGCCTTATCAGGACGGCTTCTTTGTTCCCCTATCGCCCTGGACCAGACATTGAGACAGAGTACAACATGGACAATCGCGAGCCCAAAGACTGAGGCCATCTGAGGGCTTTTCCACTCTTTTCATCCTCCTTTTTCACCCAACCATTGGATGCACTCTCTTCGCTTACGCCCATCGCTTCGGCACATCTCCACACATCGCCTCATCTTTCTTCCCTCATCTTGTCTGGCCCAGGTTTGACAATCTTTCTTCCCAATTCTCTACCTCTCTCAAGGCGTAATCTCATGTTCGCATAGTTTGTCCTCTCACCTTCGCATCGGATGCCGAAAAGCCACTAGCAGCGATGCCAAAATGTCGCCAATTGCTGGCCGTCAGTCGGGCTACCAACTGCGCTGCGGCGCACACCTCCTAAATACACACAAATGGACGGTTCGTCATACGTGCAAGCATACAAATACACAATTAAACAAACAACAACTTTGGCCATATTGTCCAGGCGTGTGAAGAAAAAACGGACAGTGAGAGGGAAGGCCTGTGGAATGCCGGGCCCATCTTCTTCGCGCACGAGGGTTAGGGGTTTGGGAGAAGAGAGCGCATCTTCTACACTCCATTGGTGCTAAGGTAGTCAGATGCAGAGACGTCTGCCGAGGTGGCTGATTTCCCATTTCTCGCAGCCAGTCACACGACGGACTTCAACGCTCCGGCTCGCATGGGCACAGCAAAATGTACCAGTCAGAAATGACAAAAGTTGCCAGCCCCACAGCCCCAAAACTGTCCGACAGTCGAGGTTCCATTGTCTTGACGACATTGCGGCCAGATTTCGGTCGGTTCGCTAGAAAACCGCTCGTCGTGATCGTCTGCCCGGCTGGTACCATCGGCCTGAATCGGTCTGGCGACCGGGCGATAAGCATGGCCACCCCTCCCCCCCTCCTCCTTCTCCTCCTCCTCCTCTATTGGAGGGACGAAATCGGCTCGACAACATGGTACCGGGCCGGGACAGACGGATTGTGCGGACAGGCATGTGTCCTCGTGCCATTTTGGCTCTCTCATCCCGTTGCGATGACAACCAAGCCTGACGACAGCAGCCTAGGCGTTTTTGGCCTGTCTACGAGTCTCTCATTGTTTCAAGGCCCCAGAAATTAATCTCTCTGCCCAGGGTTATTGTGTGGAGCAGATTTCGCTGCTTCACAAATGGTTGTTGCGTCAGAAAAACTGACGCACGCAGGAACGGACAAACGGGCTAGAATGAAGATGGACGCATAGAAGAGTAAGCCCATTGGCTCTTCCCAACTTTAGTTGGTTATACCCTTTCTCGTATATACCCTTTGTCATGTAGGTCTTCTTTGAAGAGGATGACATTTATACGAAGAAAAGTTGGGTTTCGAGGAATCGCTTCTTTCATAATTGTTGAGCTTACTTCCATTTAAAGTGGAAGTGTTGCGGATTCCTCTTGACCAGCTGTCGATTGGCTTTACTGGAACATTCATGCTGACGCTGTTTCCGAGGCAATATTCGTAACTAACCAAATCACTTTATACCTGATCAAAGAGGCCCGATATAGAATATATATATATACCGCTTTTTAGGGATTTGCCGATGAGTTTTCTTGACTCGTTAGCTTGAATTTTGTTGTGACGATGTTACCACGCTCTGATGATGCTCGTCACATGACGGACGAAAGCGTAGCAACTTTTCACCGGAATCGAAGCAGATTGCCTCGGAAACAGCGTCAGCATGAATGTTCCAGTAAAGACAATCGACAGCTGGACAAGAGAAATCTGCCGTCGTCTTCTGTTGGGATCGACGTTAGAATCTCTTCACCCAACACTTCCCACCAGAAGAGGGCGGCGGACTCCTCTTGACCAGCTGTCGATTGGCTTTACCGGAGCATTCTTGTTG